TGCCCAACAGGCAGTTTCCCCACATTTTCTCTGTTATTGGTGCAACACCCATTGCTGTCTACCACTGCTGAGCTGATCAAGAAGGAAAATGCCTAATGACCATGACATGGAAAGGGCACTCAGCACTTTTGATAGTTGGTCAGCATTCAGTGCCATACAGTGCTATTGGGCAGATCATCCTTCACAAACTTTTGATTTTAGGCATACAGCACTCCTGTGAACATCTTGCACCGCAGTGGTGTTGTTTTCACTAGATCTTCCCTGCTGCCCTGGGTGGTAGCAATGCTTGGCTTGTCTCGAGACATTTTATCGTTTTGAGAAAGGCAGAATATAAGTTAAATCAATATGATGATTTATAAAGTTAATTAGTAAGAGAATTAATGGGCATTAAGACAACTTAAATTGAATTTAAGCAATATAAACATACTTAAATTGATCATAAATTTAAACATTGGAATATTTTCCAGAAAATGTAAATAATTTTGAACTGTGTTCAGATGATGCTTTATAATTTCTTGAAACTAAAATCGTAATCTTGTATGGCATTAAGTTCACCTCTTCATGAAGAAACCTGCAAACATACATTTATCATTATTTAAAGTAACACAACTATACAAAATATACGTGACCTTATTAATTGAATATATGAATATTATGTACTAATAGCTCTATGATAAATGCAAGGTCTAAATGTCATATCCTAAATTATCTTAGTGTCTCCCTAGATTTGGGCTAGCTCTTATTCGGAAACTGAAATTTTCAAACCCCAGTAAGAAGAATAGCTGCAATATCCTTGAATACGTGAAGGTTCCCAAGATACAGTCAGAGTGTGGCTTAGTGTCATATATAATCTTGTAACAAATCAAATAAGTCTGATATTGAGTATAAATTTAATTCAGAAAATAGAAACCATTTATCGACTATACTGTAATTCTGGACGTGGACTTAAACTACATCTGAAGTTCGAGTTTCCTTTAGCATAGGACTTAAAGAAGATTTTGCTAACTTGTTAATAATAACTACAGACGCTATCAGATTGAACCAAAATTGCTATTAATTGTTTATTCTGATTATTCATATCATATTGGTTGCCTTTTCTAATTATTGATAATAATAGTTTTAAAGTAGTACATTGATATAAGATCACCTTTAAATATAGTACTGTAGTTAATAAAAAAAATCTTATTTAATTTTACACAGTTTGTAACTGTTTTCTAGTTTTTATTTTTTTATCTTTTTACTTGGCTGCACTTTTAAATATCTGTTTATATTTTGAAGTAGAGTCCTAGTTAGCTGATACAATGGGTGTGAGACAGCAGCATGAAGTTCAGATATAATTTTAACTATTACTTTTAAATTTTGCAAAGAAGTCTGTAAGAACATTATGAAAGCCATTGTTAGCTTTCTAGTCTCCAACAGGCACTGTCTATTCTATTACAGATGACAACAACCGAACACACACTACAAGCAAACAATTCCACATTCTTTCACGTATTGAGACATCCAAGCTCCCGTGAGGCTCTTTTATCATATAAGCTTTGCATTGAAACAGATGAAAAATATTATTGTATAAGCTGAAGGCAAGGGCAGACGAGCGAAGTATCCAAGTATTTCACAGTTCAGCGGCAGATGGAATTAAATCAAGGTCTCAATTCCTTTCCATTCCAACAAAAATAAATAGCTTTTAGAAGCTTATCATAACTGTAAGCTGAATATCTGAGATACATCACATAACAAGAAATGATTTCCAACTTCCAAAGCTTTACTGAAAGTGGACACTTTAATATCAATGAAATTTTAGGGCAAACAGGGGAAAAGCAGGAACAGATGAAAAGAGAAGATAAAAGAAGGCAGATGCAGATCTCCAAATACTAAACTCAGATTTCCCATCAGTATGGATAATGGTAAGGGACAATGGGAATTACAATCTAATACAGGCAGATCGGATAGAGACTACTTCAAATCTATCTCTATTACTGGTGACCACTCAACAAAGCTTTCTTGGCAATAATATGAATGTGGTTTGCAGCTGTTTTCTTTCAGAATGTTTTTCAACTTCTCAGACAAGGCTTATAACTCTAAGATTTCTTAATAGACTCTTGTTTAATATTAACCAGGTCTGATCCAGCTAAGCTTTTCTAAGATCAGCCAAACCTTGCTTTAAATTATCTTCATATTAGGAAAAGTATCTATAGTACCAGCGACACACATTTTAATGGATAATTAGATATTTTGAATAAAGCCCCCTAAATCAGGAAAATTGGGAAAAGAAACTTTAAACAAGTTGGTAAATTAACTGTAACATAATTCCCATACTGTGAAACCTAAGCCACAAATAGCCTAAAGAAAGCATACTAACTGCAGGCCCATTGTCTTACCAGTTGGTCAGGTTTTCCCTTTCTATTAAGGCCAGAGCTCTGCCTTGGCCACCAAGAGTATGAAATGAATGTTTCATCTGACTTCCTACTTTGAACTCTCTAAAAAATAACTAGAAAAAAACAGACCTTAAGGGAAGGTAGGAGGGAGGCAACCTTATGATTCTGGCAAATGAATACACAAAGATATAAACTGAGATAAGATATTCTCAATAGATATATAAACATTAATTTGTTACAAAACACAAATTTAAAAAAACACAATTCATGGACAAGAGGGGGAGAAAAGGTGAAAAAGCAAAATGTCATTGAATTATATATACATAAGGACACAGATTGCCTGATACTGGATAATCTTTTTTCTCATATCCTAAAAGATGGGGGGGGGGTAGTATCCCAATCATAATTATATGATTTTTCTGAATTGTAAATATTTTTTCAGATAAGTATTTAGCTGCAGACGGATTAATAAGTATTCAAAAACTGAAAGTTTTGCAGTACATAAACTGCAAATTTTAAATTTAAACATTGCAGAAGATAATTAAGACAGATAAGATTTTAGGTTTACTAAATATAGCATTTTCTTAATATTTTAAGAATATTTCATTAACTCATTAGAATTATTTCTGCTGCTATATATTGTTTCTTTAACTCAGCCATGTACAATAGTATTATTAGAAGTACATATACAAATACGTACCAACTGTTATTTAACACAGTTGATACTTGTCCTAACTAAAATGACAGTTCAACATAAAAATATATTCAAACTAAGTCAGTTAGAGAATGGGAACAGAAAAGAATGAAACAGGTAGGTATAATGGATAACCTCATCAACTCTGGTTCACTAATGGGGGCTCAGATGATCCACAGTTATTTATTAGGAGTTTTACACTTTCACACACATGCAATATTCTGATTTACCAGGACAAAACCCTCCAAAGTACAATACAATAATCAATGCCATCAATACTGAGATGAATATGTTGATTAGAATCAACATAAGAAACTTTTCAGAAAAAAACACATTTCTGCTTCTTATAATAACTATTTTTCCTATAAAAGTGTTTAAGTATTAATATGTACATCCCTTTCAAAATCCGATATGGTACCATAAAGCAGTTATGACAAAGCACCTTGAGGCAAATTATAGTCAGATAAATCAATACCAATGCTATGTACCATATATTTAATGGTAATATTACACAAAATACAAAAGCAGCACAATCTCTATTGAGAAAGAACACAATAAACAGCATATCAGAAGAACATTATTTTTTAGAACCAGATTCAACTGAGCCAATCTGCATTTAACAGAGCTTTCAGTATTATATGTTCGTAAAACTGATAAAGTCTTGAATTTAGTAAAATACCAGCTGAGAATTTGTAGTAATCTCTGTCAGAATAACAACTGCTCTTTCTATTTTGTCATCTATAACAATAATAACAAAAATAGCATCAGACATATGGACAGTAAAGAATAAATGCAACAATAATCAGGAATTGTTCAAGGTAGACATACACTTATGAAACACTCAACTCGGAGGATTTTCACTATTCTTTTCATTTCAGAATTTTATTTTAAAAGCAAGTGACAATGTAATTCCAAAAATAACACAACAGAAATTAAAACTACTACCACAGGAAAGAGCTTTGGCGGAATACTGACAGATGGAGAAAAAGTTTAGCATGCAAACTGGTTTTCTTTCTTTTCTTAAGAACTATTTTTGGACTGGGTTATGTACATTTAGAAATAATATAAGGTTATTATCACTAAATGCCTTCCATAAATCAGAAATAAAAGGTAGGCGTACTTTTCTGTTTTAAGCAAAGCAAACATAAAAATGGAAAGGCAATGCAGACATATGAATGCATGGATTCAAGTTATCTAACATTAAAATACACCAAGAAAGTCATCAAGTTAGATCGTATCATACATATCACAAGTATCAAAGTCACAAAATACTGGGAATAAGTGATGAATTGAATCAGCAATTTGCTTGAAAGGAAGAAAAATAGGCCTACCAAAGAAAAGTAGAAAAAATAGGAAGCAAATATTTACTGTAGGTAAGTTTTTTAAAAATGAGAATCCATCTAGAAATTGTTTTTTAAAAAAGGAAGCATGTAACAAAACCATACTAAATAAAAATAATGAAAACTGAAGACATTTGACTGGATAGGGTAAAAAAAATGAGGAAAAGGTCTGAGATACCAACTTAAACATAACTAGGAAACTTCCCTTGAGGTTTTCAGATTTTCCTTACTTGAGACCAATGTTGGAACATTGGTCAGTATTTGATATACATCACGATTTCATTCCATTTCTATCATATGTTACAAATGCCTAGCAGCGCTGCTTGACATGCCTAAAAAATAGAATAGTCTTAGATTGTTTGCATTCAGGAATAGGATAACCAAATCCTATTCTCAGGCTTTCAACAGTTTACTTTCTGTCAACGGCCAGTTCCGTGTCCAACTACCATATTATCTCGGTAGAGCAATTCCCCCCCCCCGCCCCCTAAGAGGGTGCCCATCAAATGCATTGAGCCTTCACATTTCCAGATAGCATCAGGACAATTGAGGAAGACTGGAGAAGTGATAGGATTAAGGCCCTGGATACAATAATCTTAATCACTCTTCCCTCTGTAGGAATTGACTTTTTATTTTAATCAAGCTAATCATTTCTAGCCCTGCTATTGTAGGATGCCCCGATCATACAATTGCTAACCTCAGAATCAGTATGCATTACTTTTGATCCCCAAAGCAAAGACTAGTTAAGAATTTAGGTAACCTTTACATTTTATGAATATCATCAATGTTTGCATACCAGCTAAATTGTTTCCTATTTTCAAAAGCTCCAAGCGATCTTGTGGGATGCTATTCTGTCAAGGGGAAACAGTGCAATTTTCTCACACTATTTCTCTAACCAGAGCAATGACTAGCCTTTAGATCAGGAGGAGGAGGAGGGAAAGGACATAAGCACTTTATACTTAACTTCCTCCAACTAACTTACGGATCTTTCAGCTCCCTTGTCATCTAAAAGGTGCGGTTGTCTTACCACATATGCATCACAGTCCACCTCTATACCCAAACATACAGTAGGTGTCATGTTGCCCAACGAGAAAAAGAAAACAATCTGCTCGAGTGTCATGCTACAGCCCAAGATAAACAGGGCGAAAACCAACCAGCTGATGTGTTGATTCTGTTCAGAGGATTCACTTCAAAGGCACCAAAGCTACCCTCGCGTGTTGCAGAGAGATCGTTGCCTCGATTCTCTCTCGCTCCAGCGGGAAGTTGGGTTTTTCCAAAGTCAAAGCCCACCGCTCTGCAATCACGAGCCTTGGCGGAGGCAGCGGTGCCCATCAATGCCCCAAACTTGGCCTCTCAGTCCGCCAGGAAGGCCACTCCCTGCTCTCACCTTGTGAGTGTTGTTGACAAGCACCTCCTTGCCGAAACCCTCGCCTTGCGGGCCGCATCCAGTCTCCGGCTCAGCCCCGCCGGGTAACCCCCGCCGGACACGCAGCCCCTTCGCCCCGAACCGAATCTCCCGGCCGTGGAGCGGAGCCGCCAGGAGCAGCAGCAATAGGACCCCTGCGCGCACCAAGGACGGCGACAACAACATCTCTCTCAGCCGCGGTCCCAACCACCAAACTCCGGTCCACGCTCGGGGAACTGGCTCACCTGCCGCCCGAGCCACGAACGCCTCATTGGGCTGCGCCAATACAGGTATGCGAAAGCCATTGGCTGCCACGCACGTCAATCTGCTCGACTTTCAACCGTCGGCCAACCTCTCCTGACGCTTTTTCCCCATTCGCGCAGCTACCCCCGCTTCTATTTTTTAAGCGGCTCGCTGAACTGCCAATCTCGGCACAGTGGACACTTCATTCCACCGGCTAGCGGCCATTGGCTACTCCTATTAAAAGCCTCCCCCCTTTAAATGATCCGGCTGGTCAATATCACCCCACTTTGAAGAGCGCTTTGCTCATTGGTTGATTTCCTGCAAGCCTTTCCTTCTTTCATATTTTCCGTGTAATGTAAGGCTTCACGAGAAGGTTTTATTCCTGTTGCTAGGAGGCGAAGCCGACACGTTTTGTTTTTGTCCTTTTTTTTTAAGGGTAGCGATTAGAGCCGGCTTTCATCAATTGTGCGCGGTCGGAACGAATGGTAGGTCGGGGCGCTCTCTCTATCAAGTGTTTTCTTCTCATGGGCGAAGTAGAGGTTTAAAGCTGGCCAAGATAGGAATCAGAATCAGAACAGAGCTGGAAGGGACCTTGGAGGTCTTCTAGTCCAGCTCATTGCTCCTCGATTGTTTCTGCAGATCTTTAGAAAATCACTTAATATATGACAAGTTTAGTATAATCCTCAATTTTCAACAGTTCTTTTAGTGACTCTTTGAAGCTACAACAGCACTGAAAAAGTTACATATGACCGTTTTTCACATTTATCACCACTGCAGCATCCCCATGGTATGTGATCAAAATACAGACCATGGCAATGGACTCATATTTATTATTGTTGCAGTGTACTGTGATCATGTGATCACCCTTTGCAACCTTCTAAAAAAACAAAGGCAATAGGGAAGCCAGATTCACTTAGCAACTGTGTTACTAACTTAACAACTGCAGTGATTCACTTAACAACTGTGGCAAGGAAGGTCGTAAAATGGACAAAACTCACTTAAACGTGTCACTTAACAAAAATTTTGAGCTCAATTGTGATCGTAAGTCTTGTATTAAAGGGTAGCTATAATGTTGTTTTTGTTAGTTGCAAAGTCATGTCCGACTCATCGCAATCCAATGGAGAACGTTCCTCCAGGCCTTCCTGTCCTCTACCATCCTCTGCAGTACATTTAAGCTCACGCCTACTGCTTTGGTGACTCCATCCAGCCACCTCATTCTCTGTCTTCCCCTTCTTTTTTTGCCC